ATAATCTTCCCAGAGGTTATTCAAATTTGTGCGGTAGTTATATAACCATTAGAAAGAGAATGAAATGTTGCATCAAATGCTACCAGAATCTCTTACACGGCTTTGTTCCACAAAATGTGGCGTACTTTTGAAAAAAGCGACATTACTTTCGGAATGACCTAATAAAATATGTCCTTTACTTGGTAATATTTACCTTTACCCTTCGTTTCATTGAAGTATTGAACCTTGCCTTTGTAAAGTTTGACAAACTTCTATCCTTTCATACATAATAAAATGAGTTTCTTGAGGCTGGTTCTTACAAAATTAAGAGGTAGATTAGTGAATAGACTAAAAAATCTGCCGAATAGATTTCCAAATGATTAGTGTTACTAGTAAGTTCCTGTATGACTTGTCTACTGTTATCAATCGCCCAAAAGTGCTTAACGTTGGTTCTTAGCTTAATGACTTTACAGTAATTACGGAAATGTTTGAGAAAATGAGATAGTATTATCTGCAGGATATTTGTCAATGGTTTCAAAGTACTTCTTTTGGCTTCAGTTATAAATCTAAACTTAATAGGATCTTTATGCATTTTAGGAATTCCATATATCCTTGGTATTTCTATGTAATCATTTCTGTTTTTAATGCCCAACCCGTTCAATTTGTTACATTGTATCCTCTTTACTTCTTCTAAATCAAACGGCGTTTGTACGTACGTATTTTCACCTGCTCCTAATCTTTCCATTTTTTGTTTTAGCATATGCATATAAAGTTTCTTACATATTACACAAAAATTAGAACTGGCTTTGTCTACAGGGGTAATGACAAAGTGTTTATGAATAGAAGATAAGCTACTATAGTTATAGTCATCTCCTTCTATCAATTTATTATTGTATAATGAAAATAATTTCGGTTTGAGGCGCCTTTTAACATATCTTCCGACTTTTAACAAGAGAGTGTTAGCGGTCATTGTATTAACTTTTGTTAGATTTACTATTTTCGCAACCATATTACTACTAACTCATCTACTACTAAATTAACGCCATTTTTTGAAATTCTGTAATAAAGTCTACACTTGGTACCTTTTCTAAGTAATTTTTTGAGCTTAGTACCTTCTATCATATCAAGATTACCCGTACATATGTGCTTCAGATTACTATCATATGTGCTGGGTACCTGTCACACACGCATGGATTATTTTCTAGGTCTTTTATGCTGTTAGTATCTAATTATTTTCTAGGTCTTTTACGCTGTTAGTATCTAATTTTTTCAAAAAGCTATTATAATTGCATATTTGTACTCCTATAGGTTTATCCAATTTATACCTAATAACAAGCTGACTTTATCAACTACATCTGCTCGCTGTGTACGTTGGATTAGGATTCGTTTGACTGCGTTTACTTGCATATTCTACGTATTCAAGTCCAATATGCAAAAGCAGAAGCGAATCGGTTGAGCGGATCCCTCAAAGCGGATCCCGCTTAACCGGTCCACATGGCTTTCGACCCATATATTGAGGCCTGTATTACCAGTTATTGCAAAGGTATGGCTATCCATGCAAATCTGTGAGTCATAAACTTCGATACAAAAAAAGTTGCCAAAAAATCTGTTCTCATTCAAACGGCGCCAAGAAGAGATAGCTGAGTAAATCCTCGGTTTTTCAATCTTCTACTCAATAATCTGAAAAGATTTTTGCTCAAATATGTAGCACACAGTAGTTATTGTTTTCGTACCAGCTACCATTTTATTAGCAGTTCTATAACTATTCGAAAATCTATTCTTCTTCATTGCCAGAACTTCTTTCGTCGAAGCTCACCGACTTCTAATGGCAGAGCTTCTAAAATGTACATTTTCTAGCACTTCATTTGTAACGTTCAGCATCCCTAGGTAAGTTTCATTGCTAACTGAGAGTAGGAGAGAAGCAAGACTTGAGTAGAATTGGATTTGTACGCGCGTAGATGTGTAGAAACGTAAGCGCAGCTCTGTAAGCCTTGCTCACTTCAGTAAACGCAGCCAATGCGGTCTGTGAGGTGTACGCGCCGCGTCTAAGCACAAGCATTGTATTTATTGGGTTACGTTCTCCACAAACGAAATGAATTAGAGTCTTTTAAGCCACATTGTCTTCAACTACATAATCAAGCACATGGGACGAGTAAGAGTAAGATATTGAATTTATGCATGCACAGTACTAGCTTGCGTACAGAAGTGTTTTAAGTCATATGACACCACCTGTTATTCCGATTAAACGTTTGTGCCCAAAATATGAATGAATTCCATTTGAGTATGCATGAGTATGTATGATTCTAACTATCGTACTTAGACAGAGAATGACTACAGTGCATGTTAATGAGGAGCTCACAAGTCCGCTGATGCGCTCCGTTCGCGTGCGTACGGCCTGGGCGCTTTGCCAACCCTCGATCGGATGACCTCTGTGGGAGCGCGGGCTCTTGCATTTTGTGAGCCGTTTTAGGATACTTTCGTGTTCTTTTTTCCTTTTTTCATGTCTAAACATACCTTGATTGATTTTCCCGTTATCTCACAACCTGGACTGCATACGATCTGAACTGGTCTTGTGTCGTTTTTGCTTCATTTATTCATTTATTTTAGGATAGTCTGAATAATAGTGAAAAACAGCAAAGGTGACACTGCTTTGGAGGGCGTCATGGATTTTTTCGTATGGCCTGTCTCCATAGACTTTGGATTTGGCTTGACCTTGGATCTTTCACATCTGTGTAAGTTGTTTTCTTTTCGGATTTCTTCGATGTTACTTATTGCTACCTGGTGAATAGAGTAACCAAACATGATTTACACCCACTGTTTCCTCATTAGTTCGAAAAAGCTATTGATTTTATAGGACACGTCATTAACTATGTTGTTTGTCATTAGTGTCCAACTTCTGCTATGAAGGGGTGGGAGGTCTGTGTGTTTCGAAAGACTACGACGTGGTAAAGTTGTGGTCCTGCATCTTTCGTAACCTGCGAATTGCCTCAATGATCCATAGCGTAATTTACTGGTCAAAGACATTCTTTCATTTCCAATTTTATTTCACATTGTGGTTGCAAATTGCTGTAAAGTTATTTTTCCAGGGAGTACAAGTTCGCGCGCTGACAACAAGGAAATCTCACAAACAATGCATCATTTGGAGATGACTCTATTGGAGACGGCACAGTTAGTCAAGTTTCAATACGGGCTTCAAGTTCAAATCGATACTTGACCTTTTGGATCATGCTTCATTTACATTTTGATCCTTATGCTGTTTTTTTTCCTTTGCTTGTCTTTTGAATTGGTAGATATTGTTTTGTATACTCTCTTATACACACATTTACACACTTACATTACATTTACACGATGAGAACTCACACCTCCTCACAAACATTCATGCAGTCATTTACATACTCCGCGCAACATATTGATACACATTCATATAGTCTTCCACACATTACTCATCAAATCCACACACATTCACTCTTACTAGGACAACACACAGAGACTCATTTCATCCACAGAAAGTTACAGGCACACTGTATATATAGTCATTTCCACATTTGCTGCTACCCTTGGTCTGCGTCTTAGACCTGCCACGTATGGTTAACATGTTAGCAAAGTGGCAACAATATGTTAGCAACATGCTACAGCATGTTGGCAGAACATTTTGGTCACGCCAACATGTTGCGGCATGTTGCCAACGTTGTCAACGTGTTAGTTGCGCCCGCGACGCCAGAAGGGTAGCAGCAAATGTGGAAGGGACGATACCTACTCATACATCCAAATACACACATAAATCCTCTCATGCTTGCTCATACTCACATACACGGCTTTACAACCTGAGTGTCCCACCCGCCCCGCTAGGACGCCACGCTTAGGTCCGCGCAGCGTTCGTGGCGCTGGCTGCGCGTCGACTGAAGCTTGGCGAAATTCGGGCGATACGCAGCAAACGCCGCGCGCGGCCTGAGCGAGGCGGCCGCGTTGGAGGAGCCGCGCAAGCGAAACTTGCGACTCTCAGGTTTAAAAGCCCTGTACACACGTTTATACACACTTATACATCCACATACAGAAACTTACACACTCATACAATAATTCATATTTTCATGCACACTACGCACATTCATGCTTATGTATCCACATACACAATTCATCCGTACATGATAATACTCTCGTACACACATATTTATGCTACAAACGTTCACCACGCACGTATGCACACACGCACATTCATACAAAGCAATCATACTCTCATACACACATACACTTGCGCACACTCATACACTCGATCATACTCTCAAACACACACTCATACTCACACGCGCATCATACACTTAATCACACTCTCTTACGCACATAGGCACTCATACATCACATACGTTTCACTTCCATGTACATTCATCCACACAAGAAGGCCTATGCATATCAGTTGTACATAACTCAGTACGTTTTTGAACACATACTTTCAGACGTGCGTGGACGACAGCTTCTTCCACGCGATTACATCTTCCAACACAAGAGTTGGTGAGTTCTTCTGAATTCCTGATAATTTCATCGCTATAATGGTGACCATAGAGCATGAAAACTGCTAAGTTGATAGTGAATCTCGGTCGCTTTTGGAAAAAAAACTATTCATTCGAAAAAGTATGCTCCTGTAATGAGCATACTTTTTCGATTGAAAAAAAAATGGAAATGAAATACGGGAGTTGCGGCAATTTTCATTATAATTCAGATAGGGTTACAGCAGCTCAACAAGGTGGACTGTATCCGCCTAAATATAGTGAAGTGGAGAAAGAATTAGAATAACTGAGGTGTGTTTTGTGATAATTGCTTTTCTTATATTGTTTGTGCTTTAAACGTTATTCGCGAGTCCTCTACCACAAAATTTATTTGGTTCTCTCCTTCTAACTCACTGCAGATTATCTCCCCCTTTTCTCTTTCTCTCCTCCTCTTTATTTACACCTTAATCCAATGAGTTGTAGGTCTGTTTAATGTTGATTAGCAGCCTCCCCTGCACATTTGGAGCTTTTTTGAGTGAGATGTCCCAAACAAAGAAACCGAGAGTTGACCGAAACGCCGTTTTTACTGAAGCGGAGAATAAGAAGCTGATTGCCCTTCATTTAGAAAATAGAGAGCAGTTTCATGGAAAATTCAAATCCGGAAGATACTCATTTTTCACCGAGTCTCTAGAGAAGAAGAAATACATGGGGACAGGCGGAGGTTTGTAAAACTTGCTAAAATTGCCATCATATCTTCATCCGCTCGTAGAAGCTCTTGCGGAAAAGCACCATATCGCCGGAGTACCCGGTTTAGGTGAGGAGTTATACAAAACTGACTCTTATCAATTAGCTTGAAAATTCTTCAGATGAAGAATCGGATGGCGAGCTCGAATATAAGTCTGACGATGCACTTGTTCCGAACGGGTTAGGAACAAGGTTGGGGTTTTGTTAGGGTTTTGCCAGATTGTGAAGGTTGTATCGGCTGCGGACATTAGTCGCGCAGTACGCAACAAGGTACTGAAACACAGAACAAGCGACTAATTTGAGGCAGAAAGTAGTTTGAAAGGCAAAAGAAATGTAAGCCGTTCTTCAAGTGTTCTGAGCCATACAGGTTTTTAGATGGTCTTTATTATGCAATGCACGGCCTAACGTTTCGACGCCTTCGTCTTCCTCAGAGGCCTGAAAGTGGTTCAAAACGTTATCCGTGACTCCAAGCCATCAAACACCTCCCCTAGTCCGGCTAGTTCTCAACCTTCGCTCAGCTTTCCTACTATAAAAATGTCAGGACAGAAAATGAGCGTACCGAAAGACCACCGCTATATATGGTATTTCGCACCGGAAATGATGGTCGTAGCGTAAGAATAAACTATACCATAGATGACGATCGAATGTGATCTATAGACCGCATAACGATATGAATGGAAGAAAGTCAGAGGTTATTGACAAAAACTCATTCATTCTTGTTGTTCATTTCTGGTTTCTTTGCAGAGATCCAGAAAGCCTCTAATGCTTTTCTAGCCGAGGTCCCCCTTTCATAAGCTAAGATCTTACACATGATATCAAAGTCTTCTCCAGGATGCGCCTCGCTTCTATGCCTGCCTAAAGCTAAAGACAATGTTTTACGCTTTTATCTGCTAGATGTTCTTTAATGCGAGTACTGAGTGCTCTTCCGGTCTCCCCAACATAAAGCGCGTCGCAACTGAGACATTCTAGTTGATAAACTAATCCCACTTTTGCGCAATCACCTAATTTACCATGCGGGCAGACTACACAATGTTCTATTATGCAGTATCGGTCGTATAGTCTATTTCGAACCAATTGCTTTTTGATATTGTCATTCGGAACGTCCACTAATACAATATCATCCTGCAATTGTGCACGTGAAATGCATTTTCGAAAGGCCGCGCTGATGTTATCCGATATGAATGGAAGGCATAGTGGGAGTTTATTATCATAAGCGTTGTTACCATTCGCAGTCTGTTGAATACGTGGAAAAGAATGGTAGCCATTACTGCAAGCGATATGGGAAGCCAAATTTCGTGATTCGCATCGTTCCTTTTCTCCGGAGCACATCTGCATAGCCTTATTGAACATATTCCTGATTACAGCGCGCTTCACGGATAAAGGATGGGCAGATTTAACAATTAACTCCGCAAAGAAACCAGAAATGAACAACAAGAATGAGTGTTTGTCAATTACCTCTGACGTTCTTCCGTCATATCGTTATGCGGTCTATAGATCACATTCGATCGTCATCTATGGTATAGTTTATTCTTCCGCCACGACCATTATTTCCGGTGCGGAATACCATATATAGCGGTGGTCTTTCGGTACGCTCATCTTCTGTCCTGACATTTTTATAGTAGGAAAGCTGAGCAAAGGTTGAGAACTAGCCGGACTAGGGGAGGTGTTCGATGGCTTGGAGTCACGGATAACGTTTTGAACCACTTTCAATCCTCTGAGGAAGACGAAGGCGTCGAAACGTAGGCCGTGGATTGCATAATAATAAAGACCATCTAAAAACCTGTGTGGCTTAGAAAACTTGAAGAACATATGATGCCCAGGTTTGAAGAAAGCGAGACATGGGAACTAATGTAAGCTGTTTTTGCGGGCGTACGTGTAAGCAATGTCCACAAACTCATCGACCTTCACTCAAGCATAGCCTCATATGCTCTCAATCATTTCAGTTTCGGGCCAATCACCATCAGAGATGTAATTGGGGAAGAAGAAGAGGTTGTTTTGGATGATTCACCTGAAACATTTGAGGAAGGTCGTAAAAAACCAGCAACAACCGACCTGGCATTATCAAAACTTTAGAGCATTGTAGCGTTAGTTATCAAAAACGTCGTGACTCAGGTTGTAGGAGATTTTTCAGTAATGCTCGTGAAGCTCTCTCGATCTTTACGGACAAGCGCTCGCTACTTTATGACGAAGAAATAAAGCTGACACGTTTAAGACAGCGGAAAGTTCAAATTGAAATTCGTGTGGCTAAGCTAGGAATGGAAGAAGCTAGACTTTTAGTAGAAACCGCAAATGCGAATCTTCCCCTTAGCACCATCTCCCTTACCCACTGTTTTTATAATATAACACAGATGCAGTGGGAATCGCACGTTGTGTGATTTCAAAAGCTGCAAAACTTTGAGTGGAAGTGTTTGCTATTATTTTGTTGAGTTAATTGTGTATATCTTAAGTAATGTTTTATTCGAAAACATTATTATGCACCATGAGTAGGAGTTTGGCTCTTACTACATTCATATAGCCCTGTACTTCAGTTACCTTACTACTACTTCAGACTCATTTAGATTTTGGAAGATATTAAGAGAGAAATCTTTGAATTGCGCAACAGAGTTGATCTCCTAGACGCGAAACGACAGGAAATTCAGAGAGCAATTTCATCTAAGTCGGCGTGGAATTTATAGTTTACTACCATTGTTGCACGGAGATTTATCATTTCACAACAAGGACTGCGTCGATTTCGAGCTGTCATAAGCTCGCAATCTTTCTAGAACATATGGGGAGTGCTAGTATGCAGGTACACATATTTAGTTACAGAATGTGGCTCCATCAGATTGTAACTTTAGCGAACAACAGCCATTACCTTAGGCTGTTCACAGCCGACAGTATCCCGCATTATCGCGCAGGTGTTCGATGTGTTGTATCGAAGAAGAAACGAATTTATTAGATGGCCAAATGAAGAAGAACAACGCAACATCCAGAGAAATAGTGCCAAAATGCAAACTTATTGCATTGTAGGCCATGTTTTGGATTTTACGAATTATGTGGGATTCCCCATGTCATCGGGGCTTTGGACGGGTCCCATGTAAAAATTCTAGCGCCAAGCGTATGCGAAGACAGTTATGTCAACAGGCAAGATCTAGTTGAAAATGCAAACGAGCAATTAGCTTAATGCATTTAGAAAAGACTTCCTTCTATAAATATGGGAGCCATATGTGATACTGAGCAGCGTTTTATTTGAGTTAACTCTAGATTCCCAGGGCGAGCACACGATTCTCGGGTAAGTAACAAAACTTACCGCTTTTTGGCACTTCACAATCAACTTACTTCAGGTATTTCGTAGCAGTGCACTACTATACAGGGATTTTGCGATAAGAAGAAAAACCGGCATTCTTCTTGCAGATGGCGCATATAGTTCGCAACGATTTCTTTTAAAGCCCGTATCAAGAAATGACAGAATGCCGGCAGGTTCGTAACCGACTATCATTCGATATCTATGAAAAGAAATAATTTTAGAAGCACGATTTACGGAAGCACTTTGCAGAGGCAGGGTTATCATAGAGAATGCGTTTGGATCGTTAAAGAGACAGTTTTCGTTGTTGCATACAGAACTAAGGTATGCCGGGTACGAGGGTGCATCAATACAAAGCCATGACTCAGGCATGATCCCACACGTGCCGCCAAGATAATCGTCTCCGCTTGTTGCGTGAGAAACTACTGCATCAAGACTAGAGAAAGACCCTTGGATGAGAATGAAGGATTGCCACAGCAATATCCCGATGCCAGTGACAGTGAAGCGAATATTCCGGATGTAGGGAAAGGCGCCAATATGCGCAGAGTTATCATAGAGAGATATTTCACATAGAAATGGACGCAAGATTGTTTATATCACACAAGTATTTTTGAAAGGTTGATTTAATTACTTTCTTTTTTTCTCACATTTCATACTTAAAAGTTTTTCCTAAGACCTCTGCATGAAAATGGTTCTGGTACGACCTGAGATTGCCACACGTCGTGTTTGGTTTGGAGCAATTTCTAAATTCCTGGCGTTAGCATAGTTGTTTTATACGTTCTTCGCTCTCTATCATAAAATTAAAGTAATTAGAGCTAAGTTGAATTTATCTCTAGTATTTATAATTTGAAATTTAAAAGGTGAGCTGCTTGCAAATGCTGTATCGGGATCCAAAAGGAGAAACGCGCAAAGGTAGTGAAGCACCAACATGCTTTCTCTCTGATTATAAAGCGTATGGCTCGTAGATTTATCCAATGCAAGTGTCTTGTATTGAGCATTCGCGCAACAGACGAGGGGGGAGAATCCGCTCACAGGACAAGTTATCAAAAGCGCATTACTCAAACTTACAAGTTTGAGTAAAGCGTGAAGTGACGGTAAATTAGATAATGTAATATTGATTAGACCAGAAAGTGATATGAGGAAAGCTGAGATAAACTCCAATAAACATTCCAATGCCATTTGCATTTCGGCAAAAATCGAAAGTGGCCACCTGCACTGCAGCTAATATTAGAGCTGTCGAAGAACGAAAATGGTTAAGACGTAAACAAAGATTTGGACGCAGTCTCGCAATTTTAATACGCAGAAGTTGCAGAGAGAACAAGGGGGTACAAGACCCGCAGACATGTAGAGTGGCGTCGTCACCAGTTTGAGAAAAACATCATTTTATAAGATCTCAAAACCATCCCAGAACTCCGCTTCAAATATTGACCAAAGATGATGATTATTAACCTGTACATTTTTTCTATGGTTTCAAAACCTTTTGAAGAATATGCGCTAGCAATTTCTTCACCGCCAAGATAACTAGGCTTCGGCTGAGTGAGCAAAACACAGATCGCTGCCTAAAAAAATCATTGATAGCCTCCAAAGGATCAAAGTGAACAAATGGTACTACTTGTTCTGCACTGGTATACCAGAGAGGATCATCAGCTAGCACGATTCATTTATTCAACCCGTTTGCAGCTCCCAATATCGCTTTCTTAGGATCCCAAGACCTGGCCTAGATCCGGAAGAAGATAGTTCCAACCTACGCATCTAGACCAATTAGAAGATAAAAAGAGCAAAAATTGAAGCTTTCCAAGAAACAAACCTTCACGACAAATTTTTTGAATGCCCACATGTAGCAACCATTGTTTCTGCTGGTTAAACTTAGGGAAATAATATGTCACCGCCAACCGAAGGGGCGGAGAGAGGAACGAACCTCACGGGCTAGAAATGGGCATATGTTGCGAAACGTGTTAACAGCAACTTATCGTGCTTCTCTAGTTAGTTAAACATGCGTATAAATACCAGAAAAGCTAACAAAGATACAGCATTACACAAGAAAGATTTTACAACGAAGAGCTTGAAAAGAACTCGTTCAATAAAGCGAAGAAACAACCTCAAAGTATTAGGCCGTTCCAAAAGTAATGTCGCTTTTTTCAAACGTATGCCACACATCTCGTGGAACAAAGATATGTAAGAGATTCTGGTAGCATTTGATGCGGCATCTCATTCTCTTTCTAACCATTATGAAGTTGTTGCAATACAATCAATAAGCTTCCAGAAAAGGGTCAAAATCTGCGACCTATGCTTTTTAAGATGGCCAAGTTTCACATTTTTTTCAAAATTTCATGACAAACCTCAGAAGGAGTCCAAGTAATGGATGGATGGAGCAAACCCTACAGGAAATAGCACAACTTTTTTCAACTTTTCAGAGTTCGTCATAATTTTTGTACAGATTTTTTGATGAAACCACCGAATTTTAGCAGGCTCGTCTCAGACACAAATGCATCAAACGCCAACAAGTCTCCGGATTTTGAAACTTACAAAGATGGATTATGGTTTGGCAACATTTTTACAAACCAAACAAGCATTCATCGCTTCGGTTTAGCAACTTTCGAAAATTTCGGGTACACCTTGATGGTGCCTTGGAAAACCTGATTTATGGTGATTTTATCTCGGAAAACTTGATGAATCGGAAACGAAAAACAACCGGTAGAAAGTGGATTCAAAGCTGCGTCGAATGACACCCGATTTGCTTGCCAATTGTTGTCCTGTGAGGTTTTACTTGACTAAATATGGAATTTGATGACATTGAGAAATTGATTGTAGAAACTCTGAGAAGCAAGCTAAGGAAAAGAAAAAATTGCTCTGCGTTCTATGGTGTTTGCTCTATCTATCTGCCACTTGTACTTTTTCGGACATTAGGTACAAAAATTTAGAAAAATAGCCGAACTTGACCATGACAAAAAGCATGAGTCGCAGATTTTGGTAATTTTTCGAGGTCATTTTACATTTTGCAGTGGCATTAGAACCTTTAGAAAGAGGATGACATGCTGCATCGAATGCTCCTAAAATCTCTTGAAAATGTTGGTTCCACGACTAGTGGCGTTCATTCGAAAAAAGCGACATTACTTTCGGAACGACCTAATAACTTGCCTCAACATGACTTTTATAGATCTTTTCTTCAATTGGTTTTTGAAGATAACGATGCCGAGCGAGTATTATAGATGCACGATATAGTAACAACAAGACTGGTCGAAACATTTCTAAAGCTTTGGCACCAGCAAACCTGAATAAAATATGACTTAATATCAGGTTTCATTACCGATTGTCATACTCTCGCGATCATGATTCCAATGATTGAAAACACGGACTGCGTGCCTCATCATAGTTTATAAACATTACGGCTTATCTGTGAATAATTTTTTGAGAGAGCCGCAGGGCTCTTAAAGGCAGTGGCTCGCAAAATCTCAACGTAGTCAAATTTGCGCTTACCTGGGGTTATTCAATGCGCTGATCCCGAAAATCCACTTTTAAAAGCGTGAAAACGGCGAAAATGAGCGTTTTTTGAAGTTCTTCCCTTTGATATTGGACGAGTAGAGCAAGGCCGATGACGCTAAATCGTGCCAGGGCCCAATGGTTATAGCGTTGCGGCGGGCAGCCTCCAATGGTGAGAAGGAAATTGCCAACACGTCCAGATGCGTGTAAGATTGGTTTGCGCGTGCAAGTTTGAGAGCGATTTTCTCGGCAGGGAAAGCATGCTGCGCAACTGGGATTGCACTGTTTTCATAGTTGGGCGATACGGAAC